TCCAATAAAAATAATCCACATAGCGCTTGTTTTTGCCTATATTGTATATTAGTGGGAACTCATGAATATACAGTAAAATCTCATTACAACAAATTTAGTTGTTATGAATTAATGCTATTACAACAAACTTATTTTGTCCCTGTCCAAAAGCTAACGCTATTATTTTAATTTTGTTGAAACAATTTCCATTTGCAACTCGGCTTTTTTTTTTAAGGTCCCACAATAAGCTCTGTTGTAATGAGATTGTACTGTACTGCTATAGGGAATGCATAATACCATAATACTGTGTATATGTTTCATCTTGGAATAATCTCTCATGGTAGCTAAAATAAACAGCCTGAGGTTTTCTTTTGGGGGGGGGGGGAGGGGGCAAGTGAATGAACTTTCAATAGTGTGGTTTGAACTCCCACTTTCATTATGCAGAACACTGCAAAAGTGAAAGTGAAATGAACTCAAAAGCCTGTGGTTTAACCTGACTGAAAATGCAGCCATGCATTGTATCGGGGTATACGGGTCTATTGAATTCCCTCCTGTGTAATTCGAAGCCACCCCAGGATGGGCAACAATCCAGCCTTTATTTGCCTGCATGTCTATATATATATATATGCATTCGAATTCAAAACGTGCTTTGAATGACACATGTAACGAACAATTTTTATAGCAGACAAATAATCACCACGGGTGGGCTTCGTATAATCACACCATGGATCCAAAACCTCGAAATGGTTTGAGCCCTTTGACTCCCCACGGAGTAAGTCTTTGACAGCTGAGTAATTTACAGTCATGGCGCCTTCCGTAAATATAAGCGCGGATCGAATGCGTGAAGGTTGTTGGATTAATGGCTCACCTTGGTATACAGTCATTCAGGAAAGTGATTACCAGCATGGGTTGGGTTTTTTTGTTCATGTACAGATGAACCTCTAAAACTCAAAGTCAAATACAGTCAACCCCGTCTAACGGACTTGATTCGTGCAAGGGACGAGTCTGTTTGACAAAAAGTCCTTTACACGAATTCAATTACATACAAAATTAAAAATTTCAATTTTCAACACTAATTTTAATCCAAAAGAAGTCTGTTTGGCGGAATTTGGCTGTTGGGCGGGAGGAAAAACTGCTTGCAGAGCTGGTCTGTTTGGCAAAAATCCCTTACACGGGAGGTCTGTTAGGCGGGGGGCCACTGTACAGCAGGATACAGTAATTTCAAGTCCCTCCCTGAATTCCCTTTGAAAAAATGCATGAACCCCCTCCCCTTCAACTGGAAGGATTTCCCTCACAAAACATCCACAATAGATTCGAATTTTCTGGAGGCCTTTTGGCTATTTTATTATGGACACAGTGAAAATAAAAGCAAAAAATGTAAAAATGCAAATGGAAAGGAAGAGGAAAGACTATAATAATGGATAAAATATCAATTATATTGTGAAAGAATATAATTGTAGTGAATTGGGAAAAGACCAAGTCATTTTCCCAATTCACTACCACATTAAAGGAGACACACAAACTTGAAAGTTTTAAAGGTTATCAAGACTTCAATAAACAAGGATAACAAAACAGAAATTAATCCTTTTGTATCACACAACTGAAATTGCAATTCAAGCACATACGACTTAATACTGACTTCCAGCAGCACCCAGCAACTCTGAATAAGTGATGGTGTGTCCTTTGTGAAATTTGGAAATAAAAGTACAGTACAATAGGTATGCTATACTGTATTATTCTTGTATCAGCCTTGCTGCTCTCATTTTTACCTGAATCATCCTTGATAATGCAAATTGCTTTCATCCAAACATACTTTTCCAATAATGTGCTCCCAGATAAATCATATAGACACCCAAACGTTATCAATTCCTTGATGGCTTCAAGGTGGAAATACTGTATTCAGTGTATTGTACTGTATTTTTGCAGAAACCAATACATTATTGCTTTCTGCCAAAAACTTTCCCTTTACTTTACCTTGAGGTCAGTCCTTATATACTGTAAATATAGTTTGCAGACACAATAAGTAATGCGCATTAATCCTTGGACTGTGTTCACATGATGCAGTTTAAAAGACATTTTGTGTGTCTAAGTTAATTTTTCCAGAATTCAAAGGGAAAATTTGGATCAATTTTATATTTGACAAATTATATGAGAAATTCCTCAAAACAAAAATGCTTCCTTGACTTTAAAACTCAAAAAAGCTGCAAACAATTAGGCACAGAATCTGCAATTTTTGCATGAAAAGTTAGGAGTGCGTCTATGTCTATATAGATAGTAAATGGAGGCAAATAACCCCACAGCACAGATTATTGCCCACTGCAGTTGTGGGAAAACCCATGAGAAGTAATTAAAAAATTTAAAAAGGAATTACAAAATTAGCAGCTGGCTTGTTTGGCAAATATTAAATAAAGTAAACTTATAATACAATTTATATTGACTTTCTGTCGTAGCACTAGCTCATTTTCTTCAGCTAATTGAGGATGGTTGGATAATATGAGGAACGAATCAAATCCAGGCATGCTATACTCAGTATCAAGACTATACCAATATAAACCATACAAAATGAAATGAAAATTTTGTGCACGTGAAGTGTCCGAACATATCTGAAAATATGAATGCTGTGAACCATCACATTCTTCAAAATTCAAACTTTCGGGTGGAGAAAGACTAACAGGGTCCTTTAGCTCTGTAACTGATTTGAAATTTCTTTCAAAAACGAGCTTGGAGGCGCCGGGTATCGATCCCGGTACCTCTCGCATGCTAAGCGAGCGCTCTACCATCTGAGCTACGCCCCCTGAGTTGAGTGGGACTGCTTTCAAAGAAAAGTATGAACATTATCCTTGGCCAACCTATGGCTAGGGGCATTCCAGTCTGAGAGTTGAGCTCTAGAAAAGATCCCGCCGTCATTAACTTTCTCTTATGCCCGAGGGCGCGTCGGGAATGGCTAACCCTATTTTTTTTTAAGTTAAGCATTGCCAGTGCTCCCCTTCTAATAGTCCTCTTTTTTTTTGCGGGTCTGTCGCGGAGTACCCATAATTTGCCCGAATCCGTCTTCGTTTGGGCTGGGGAACCGATCGATCATAAATCGCTGCCAGCAGACGCCCATCAGACTTTCCGAACGGAAAACAAGGACCGCTGATCAGGAATCGCTCGGGAGGAAGAGTACGGGACATATTAAGTTACGGTACTAAAGCTTTCTGAAGTTTCCGGAGTTTTCTTTCGAATAATGTAATTGTGATACAGTACAGAGAAAACCTGAAGTAATATTGCTGTTTCAGGCTAGATATTGAATTCACATCGTAATTATTCAGTTTTTCGTTTAAAAGGTCATGAGAAAATCTAGTGCGTGTATGCACAAATGAAATTTTTGCAGATCTACCAATGCAATCTCTTATTCGATGCATGCAACAGTAAATGCTGCAGGCACTCCTTCAAAGAATTTGCAAATTTTGTGTATACTGTACAGTATCATGATACTGTATTTGTAGACACACTTGGACCTTCCTGACTCAGACCTACTTTCATTGAATTCCCTTTTAGACCGCGTTCAGATATGTTTTTCACAAGGAAGATAAAGATTATAATTGCTGGACACATGTACATTTCTTAAAATGAAGTTTAGCATCCCAAAATTTCATTTACACATCAATTTGAGGTCCAAGGGATAAATAATTTCCCTTTCTTAACTTGTCGCAAAATGTTTTTGCAAAAATAAATGCCAGTTTCATTGATTCGAGGACTCTGCAAGTCATCAATGCATGTGTCCCTCTCAGTTCAAATTATTTCGAATATCTAGGGTTGTTCTTCCGGCATAATAATTCCACATGCACTTATTCCTTTCAATTCAGCCACACATTCTGTTCCGACGAAAAGAAAAAGTGCCCAACAGGTTGGTATTGAGACACATATACTAAAGTTAACTTTCTTCCAATTGTACAAATGTGCGAATTCAGGTATGAGCTGGAAAAATCATTGAAATGCAGTATTTCATTCCCAGGTTTAGAACATTAATTAAGAATCCAAAATTCCTCGGAATAGCCAAATTTTGAGGAATTCAGGAAAGGTATGTATTGTTCTAACATCATAATATTATTTTCCTGCGATTTATGAACCTATGGAAGAAAATGGAAGCATCAACATGACCCCGGAGTTGAACCCTTTATAGCAGGTCTTGCACGTATATACAGCTTCACTGAATTGTTTTGTTTTGCGCATTTTATTTAATATGTATATCTTTTTTTATCCTCAGTGAAGTGAGTCTTCATTTCTTGAAATACCTCATCGTGAAAAATGCATTAATTTTCACAATACGGCAAAAGTCTCAGCTTAATTACCTCCACACATTCAGCTGTCCATAAACTAACCCAAAAAGGGAGTTTCATATCACTTCAGCAATTGCTGCTTACATTTTAAAACAAGCAACTGGCTCAAATCAAGAGAATGAAGAGAGTCATTCATAATTCGGTCAAACCACAGAACAAGAGTCTCGTGATCCACGTATTCCACAGCAGACACACACACACACACACACTCGAGTTCTCTCAGCATTCATGCATGCTTGCATATACACAGCTTCGGACAGGAGCTTGCCATGGATTTTGTCAGTGGCTCCAAAGAACCAAGACAAAGAGTTAAAAGTTTTTAGGAAATAAAGGAAGGCACAATAGGCCGTTTGCGGCCGAGACTAGGTCTCCTCGAACGGTGTATTTTAGCAACACAAATTAACAACAGTTTTCACTTTCAGGAATCAGGAGGACACACTTTTCAAGAGCACTTTTAGGAACCAATCGCTACGAGAATCTCAAGATGAGTGACGATCTTCGGTGCTTCGGAGTTCCGGGACCAGTACTGGAAAACTGGTTTCCAAGGTCGAGTTGAGGTGAGTTCTTGTGGTCGGAAACAGGGTTGTGAAATATTAATGATTTATGTGTTTGTGGCATTTTCAGGTGTAGCAGTGATAGGAGCGTAAAGGGCGACACCTTACGGTCCCTGACAAAACCCCCCTGGGCTTGCTCGGCTAGATGGCGCAACGGGCAAGTCCATGGTCTGGGACCTGTTCGGTTGCCATGACGGTTCTTGTCAGTGCATTGGAGTTTTTTGGTGGGAATGGTTGGGTTAAGTGTTTGTAGGCAGTATTCGAAGATGTGGTTGAAGTTTTTGCTGAAGATATTCCTTGATTTTGTGGATTTGTCTTGATTGCGGCGTGTTTTTTGAGCTGCGCAGCTGTGATGCTAGATTTGTAGGTTGGATATTTTTTCTGTTTAGATCGTGACCCTGTGTTGAGGGTACGAAATGTGGAGGGCGATCCTGTAATGGGGGTGCCGTAGTTGACTTCTTTATAGCGGTAATTTCGTCTTTGAGCGGTAATTTCGTATTTCAGCGGTAATTTCGTATTTCAGCGGTAATTTCGTATTCATATAATTTCGCGACCCTGTAATGGGGGTGCTTATATCGATTGAGACTTTGTGCGACCCTGTAATGGGGGTGCAGAGCTTGAAGTAGCGACCCTGTAATGGGGGTGCTTTGTTGAAGTATATAGGAACAGCAGTAATTGACGATTTTGTGGCGCTGAGGCCGAATGGTGTTCAGCAGTAATTGAAGATGTTTTTAGGGCTCTGAGGCCGGTGATTGCTCTGTAGTAATTGTCGGACGTCTTTTTGATGTTCCTTTTCAGGTTGTCGTGTTGGAAAACTAAAAGAGAAAAAGATAAGAGTGGAGATGAGCGGCGAACGTCGAGATTCAATCGATCGAGGTGCTGCTGAGATATATAAGTTTATTGACAGTATTGATGAGACATTCAATTTCATTTTTGCAGAGATGGCCGAGTTGGAGGATGATGGGAGAAGCACGCCCGAGAGCGTTTTCAGCCTGCCGATTTCGCCGTTGGTGAGCAGGTTGGAGCCGATTCCTGGTCCTTCTACGCCGAAGTTGGCACGTCGTGTTGGTGCGGATGGGGTTGTCCAGTTTCCCGGGGCCGTCCGAGACTTGGCAGAGACATTCTCC